TTGAAAGTCAGAGTTGGACTTCCACCTTTCGCTCGGGTCATTTGAGTCACAGGGATACTTGACAAGAGCTGTCGACAATCAGATGCCAAACGTTTCACAAGCAACAACCTGAAGCTGTCAACCGTGCAAGTCGACAAAAGCAGAGAAGGATCTTTGGAGGGCCCCCGCAATGCTGCTGTTCCTTTTGGTTGACCTTAAAAACCAACCCGAAAAGGTGTATCCTGAAACTATTAACACCCTCTTATGGGGTGTCAAAATAGGGGGCGGCCTCGAAAAGTTCTGCGTGGGTGCGAGGCCTCTTCGCGCCGCTGCTGGGCTGCGGGGCGCTGCTGGTGGACGGCACCGCGGCCTCCTGCTACGCGCTGCCCACGCTCATCGCGGCGCCTTGGAAACGGCTTGGGAATGCTCTTGGTGCTGTATATACGTGTATCATTTATGGGTGTGTGAATTTTGAGGATGCCCCTCTTTTGGTGGTTTTGAAGGGCAACCAACTAAACAACGGTCCCCGAAAGAAGACATATTATTGTATGCCACTTCGCATCAAACCTTTGGTACTATTGACACATAAGTTACACACTGAAAACCTAGAATGAAACAACTGTGTATCCACTGTATCCACTCTAGAGTGAAGTGGAATCCCTCTTGGAGATGAGACACCAGATGAACAATCTCTTTGAGCTTCCTGCAAGGGGCAATCCCCACTGAGAACTCTAAAGGTTCTCTGTGAGGGCGTATTAATGAAAGCACGGCTTCAATCCAGCAAAAGGCCCTTTGTCGGTTGTCGATGCAAACACGGCGCCCAGATGTTGTAGACCTGCCTCGCGTGCATTTGTGCGTATCACCACATCTCCGACATTCGAATGAGGGCACTCAGGGTGTTTCGGGGCTTCATTGGCTTCCAGCAGTGAATCGAGCTGTGTTGGTGAAATCGACTCACCAAGTGGCTAAGGAGTCCGGCGGCTTTCAGAGACTTCTGGGGCTGGTGGGCTGGAGGCGTGAGCGACTTGAGTTGCGCGGTTGCAGCCGGTTGCATTGAAGTGCCTGGCATCGCCCGGTTCTATGCGGGGAGGAACCTGCAATCCTTGGCACAGCTCTGCTTTTCGCCTGTGCGGGCGGCGCACTTCTTGGCAGGCCAGATTCTTGGTTTGAAGCAACCATGCATGCTATGCAAACGTGCTTTGCGGGGGCATTGCTGCTCGTTTCCGTGCAGGTGCAACATGCAAATCGGAGGAGAAGGTTTTGGCAAAGAATCAGCCAGCAAGCATTTCCGGAGCATCATGGACTGCAAGCTGAGAAACATTCAACATATTTGCATGTGATGGACCGGAGGAATTAGTGTATTTTCTTTAGTGAGATAAATTCATTGAAGGTCAGACATCGGCGGCAGGCAATACCAGGAAGTTAGGGAATTTAATAGAGGCCACCCCCCGCTAGAATTAACAACCAAACAAACTATGCATGCCTCAGGTATATCACCCGTACGCCTGGGTCCTCTACGTGCTTGGAGCAAACCTTCTCTGACGCACTTAGGGTTTCCACGACAGCCATGGCTCCAACCGAGTGCTTTGCTTCGGAAGCGGAGCTGCACATGTCAAGCAAGATTTCCATCAGAGGGGCTGTGCCCAATGTTCTACTTTTAGGTTGGAGCAGGGATCAGACTTTTGGCTGAATGGGCCGATACACACCTTTGCATGGACAGGAATCGGACTAGGTGCCCAATTTGCAGAAAGGCGCTTGTGGTGTTTGATTGCTTCTTGGCCCATGGCTGTCCTTCCGCTTCTGCTGGAAGGTTAGGGCCGGCTGCCAGCGTCACCAATGTGCTATCAATGGGCCTGCGAGGCTCGCGAGCACCAAAGGCCAAACAGACTTAGCGGATCTCGGTGTTGATCGTCTCTTTCCGAATGGTTGGCCATAAGCTGTGTTCAAGACCGAGATTGGTCAGGATGGTGTGCAGTCCCAACATCTTCCCCTTTTCTTCGAACAAACACTGGTCATGTACACAGACAGTTGCTAACAAGTTCTTCGCGGCCCTGATTCATGACTGGGGGTTTCTTACATTGGATCAACTCACCGCTCCATTTGCGAGCTCTCACCCGGGCCGCGGCGCTGAATTCACTTGGCTTACGAGACGTGACCTGGAGGAGGATAAAAGCGCGGGGGGCTGTGCACTTCAGCACCTGGAGGAGGGGGGGAGTCATGGGCAAAGGCCGGCGACGCCAGGTGGACAGCGACAGTGAGAGTGCCAAAGACTCTGACGGGGAACCCGAGCAGGAGGTGCGCCAAGTGCAACGGGAGTTGTGTCCGCGTGCTGGCAGCAGAATCAAGTACGGTACAGACTGGGCCCAGCCGCGACGTGGCAGCAAGGCCAAAGAAGCCGACCGCTCGGCCAGCGCCAGCGAGGTGCAGATGGCACTTGGATGACTCGGACAGATGGGGCGTCTGTGTGCTGACTAATCCATACTTGCTTGGATTTGCTTTTCAGATGAAACTGGGAGTTAGCAGTAGCGCAAGTTGCTGTGCAAGAAGTGCACCCTCCTTTCACTACTTCACAATTGCCACGCCAGGTGCTGAGCCCGCCTGGAGCAAACTTGAGGTGCGCAGCAAGCATGTGATCATCGGCCAAGCTTGCCAAGCTTCTGTGATTCTGCTGTCGGCTCAGCCTGCCAGCATCCAAGAGCTTGAGGCAGATCGAATCGGAGGCGACCCGTGCAAAGGCCTCGAGGCCGGTGCAAGGCTTCAGTTGGCTGCTTGCTGAAGAACCGGCCAGGCCTCGCTTCCACATGCACCTCCAACTAACCGACTTGCTGCGGGTCACGCGGCTCTGCCAGTGACTCAGACCTGAGCGGGCGGTCCCCTCCCTCGGGGCACGCGGCTTGCCAAGGCATGCCGCTGCTCGCGGGGGCCGCGCTGGTGTCGCTGATCACGGCGGCGCTGGCCATGGGCTGTGAGGAGTCCCCGCTCCTCGGGAGGCGAGCACGAGACCCGAAGGGGTGGAGTGCCATTTCTTTGTTTTGCCATTTGCTCTCAGGCCAGCTTGTGAAATCAGCTGATTTGTTCATGGATTCTGCTTTTGATCCGGTAACAAAGGATGTGTTGTTTCTTGACTTGAGGGCCAGCGCCTTTCATGGAGAGAATGGCTGCGTAAACGCCTCGACGGCAGGTTTTGCATTGTCGAGGGGCCCGCCCAGTTGGCAGTGGCTTTTGCTCCGTTGCTGCTCGCATTGATTGGCCTGGCCTACTGGCTGCGGCAGAGTGTCTCGGCTAAGCCACGCAAGGAGTGCGCATTTTTCGAAGGAACTGCTGTCGTTTGTACGGCATATCTTGGTTACTTGAGACCCCAAAGTGGCGGCAGGAAGGAATTATCTCTTCCTCGAAGCGCTGATTTTTTTTTGGCAGTATTTGAGCTACCAAGCTGGAGGAGCGTGCCCGGGACGGTTGCCCAAGGCAATTTTCAGGGCCAAAAACACGGTTAGATGCGTTTTTAGATGCTTGCGTTTGCTTCGAGCTTGGCACCAATAACTTCCCGATTCTGAGGCAATTGGGATGGAGACATGTGGCACTCGCCCAAGTCTGAGGACGGATGAGGCAGCAGCATGCAGCTGAGAGAAGCTGGCGCCAGGCCGAGTGGGGTGTGCGACTGTGTTTTTGGCTCGTCTGTTGACTTTATTTTTGTCGGTGGGTTCGATCGGGTTGGGTTGGGTGGGTGTTCTGTGTTCGTTCGCCTGTGTGTTTGGGGAGCCAGTTCAGATCAGACAGGATGCGGAGGCGCAACGAAGCGCTGCTGAGCTCTTGGATGCGCCTGCCCCGACTCGCTTTGAGAAGCTTTTCTGGTGGCCGCGTTGCATGATTCGGGTCCGTCTCAAAATGGGACAGCCATGACACGGTTTGGACTGCGTGGGGGAGGTGACACGATTCTCAGTGGTCCCACAACAAAAGGTATTTGATAAAGCTACCGTGCAGTTCCGATGGTGCCACAGCGGTTCCCCGTATATATGCCCGTTGTCGTGAGCCTGCGTGAGCCAGGTTGCTGGACTCACCGCCGGCAGAGATTTCCAAGTGACACCTGGGAGTTTCTCAAAATGGTGGTGGGGACCTATTTGAAGACCATCCGGACATCTGATAGACGAAGAGCGAAGAGATTCAGGTTGAGAGGGATAAATGCTCAGAGTCTCACCATGCCAGCTTCTCTAGTTTCCATTCTCAAGAGGTACTCCCAGCAAGTCCTGCAGATCATCCAAGACTTCCCCGAGAAGGCGGTGATTCAGCACAAGGGCTGGTTGGCCGTGGAGGTGCTGGAACTGCAATATGAATCAATGAGGGTCAGCTCTTGCCTAATTTACACGCTGACGCGACACAGCCGGCCACCGGGCACCTTGCCCTGCCCGTTCTGTCACTTCTCTTTCCGGTAAGTCCGATGAGTAGATGTTAAGATTAAACAATTCTAAACACTTTGAGATTCTAAGGGTCTCAGATTTGAAGACTTTTGGAATTTAAGGCTTCAATGGTTTAAGAATTAAGGTTTTAAGATTCAAAGACTTAAGGTATTTGAAGGTTATAACAGCCAGGCCATTGCCCAGCCATTTTCCATCCATTATCAGATTTCGAAGGCTTTAAGATTTTATTTTTGGCGAGATTTTCAGATTTGGCGACTTTCGGAATTTAAGATTTTAAGATCTTAAGAGGTTGTAATTTTAAGATCTTAAGGTTTCAAGATTTCAAAAATTCAAGATTAAGAGTTTAAGGAAGTTAAAATATAGCCCGGATTGAAGGAAGGTAATATTTTAATAACTTAAGATTTTCAGATTTCAATTGTTCGAGGTTTAAAGAATTTAAGTTGTTAAAGCTTTTTAAGATTCTGAGATTTTAAGATTGTAAGACTTTAGGAATTTCATATTTTAAGAGTTTAAGATCTCAAGATTCTATGACATAAGGTTTTTAAGGTTTCAAGATTCGAAGACTTTAGGAGTTATTTTTTATATTTTCAGATTTTAAGATTCTAAGATTGATTGTTAGATCTTAATTTAAGATTTTAAGAATCTAAGACTTTAGGATTTTGAGATTTCAATCCAGGCCATGTTCCATCCATTTTCCATCCACTTTAGATTTTAAGATTTTCAGGTTGCACGTTTTCGGCAAAATTGGCCCGACTTAGGGGACAACATCCCCAGCATCACCCGCATCGCCAGCATGCATAACATCATCCGCATCATCCGGGATGATGCTGGCAATGCTGGGGGTGTTGTCCAGTATTAGGCACCCCCTAAAATGCTCGTTTTTGACCTCGGTTTTGGGCGCTGCGGGGAGATGCTACAAAAATCCTCGGAAATCGCCTAAACCAATCCGCAAATCCTTCGCCCCTTATAAGGGAGGGCCCAGCATAAAACGTATGCGCATGTTCTGCGCATGGTCTGCGCATGGTCGGCGGCATGGGGCGCGCGGCCTTATACCTGAAGGTAAGCCCTAACGGGCTTTGGCCTGCGGCCCGATCACGTCCGGTGGCCGGATTTAAGGGCTGCCGCCCAGTGCCGCCGACCCCTCCGCTGGGGGGCCAGCCCAGGTTTTTTTTGTTCTGTCAGCGGCTTTTGGCTGGTTCAGGCTTGCTGGCTTGCTCGCTTGCTTGCTTGTTTGCTTGTTTTCAGCGCTTTTCCAGGCCGCACTCGTTTGCCCACAGCGAGCACCAACCAAAGGAGTGCTATATAGAAAGTAGACAGCTATCGGTCCCCAGGGCGCAACCAGCAAGAACAGCTTCGCGTCCAGCGCGCTTGGAGGCCACTCGCTTCGCTGCAGCGAGCACGAACCAAAGGAGTGCGCCGGCAGCCTGCTCCGCCGCGGCCGAGTGCCTAACGTCGCATTTGAGTCCAATATGCAGCAAAGCTATCGGTCCAGAGGGAGCGGCCAGCCACAAAAGCTTCGCTTCCCGCGCTTTTCCAGGCCGCACTCGTTTGTCCACAGCGAGCGCCAACCAAAGGAGTGCGCCGGCAGCAGAAAGGAAAAGGAAAGAAACCAAAGGAGTGCGCCGGCAGCAGAAAAGGAGAAAGGAAGAAAAAAGGCCGTACGGGCGGGCCGCGACAGAGCTTCAGCGCTGAAAACTGTGCCCTGCAGGTGCTTGAGCGCTGTTCCAGGCCGCACTCGTTTGCCCCCCACAGCGAGCACCAACAAAAGGAGCGCGAAAACAGGCCGAACGGGCTGGCCGTGACAGAGCTTCAGCGCTGAAAGCTGTGGCCAGCAGGTGTTTGAGCACTCTCGGCCTTCTCAGCTCAGGGGTAGTTGGTGTAGTGGCATCACACCCGCTCAGCACGCGAGAGGGGCCGGGTTCAATCCCCGGCCTGTCCATGCCCATGTGCGCCTGCGTCTGGCACCGCACGAACCAAAGGAGTGCGCCGGCAGCCTGCTCAATATGCAGCAAGGCTATCGGTCCACAGGGAGCGACCAACCACAAAAGCTTCGCTTCCCGCGCTGGGTCCAGGCCGCACTCGTTTGTCCACAGCGAGCACCAACCAAAAGGAGTGCGCCGGCATCAGAAAGAAAGAAAAGAGGCCGAACGGGCGGGCCCGCACTCGTTTGCCCACAGCGAGCACCAACCAAAAGGAGTGCGCCGGCAGCAGAAAGGAAGAAAAGAGGCCGAACAGCGCGGAAAGCTGTGCCCAGCAGGTAATTGAGCACTCTCAGCCTCATCAGCTCAGGAGCAGTTGGCGAGAGGGGCCGGGTGCAATCCCCAGCCGGTCCATGCCCATGTGCGCCTGCGTTGGTCTGTCTCGCTTTTGGGTTTGCTGCTCGCTGCGGCGAAGCGAGTGCGGCCTCTCAGCGCGCTGGGCGCGAAGCTGTTCTTGCTGGCTGCGCCCTGGGGACCGCTAGCTTTCTACTTTCTATATAGGATTCAAAAGTGACGTTAGGCACCCGGCCGGAGCAGGCTGCGAACGGGCTGGCCGTGACAGAGCTTCAGCGCTGAAAGCTGTGCGCAGCAGGTAGTTGAGCACTCTCGGCCTGTTCAGCTCAGGGGCAGCTGGTGTAGTGGCATCACACCCGCTCAGCATGCGAGAGGGGCCGGGTTCAATCTCCGGCCTGTCCATGCCCATGTGCGCCTGCGTCTGTCACAGTTTGCCTCTCCCTGGTCTTTCATCCCTTTGGGTTTGCTGTGCGTCTTGCCAAGACCGGCTGCTGCGCCGCGGCCGGGTGCCTAACGTCACTTTTGAATCCTATATAGAAAGTAGAAAGCTAGCGGTCCCCAGGGCGCAACCAGCAAGAACAGCTTCGCGTCCAGCGCTTGGAGGCCGCACTCGCTTCGCCGCAGCGAGCACGAACCAAAGGAGTGCGCCGGCAGCAGAAAGGAAACGGAAAGAAAGATGGGCAGGGATCGTACATGCAGTAAAGCTATGTGTCCAGAGACAGCGGCCAGCTACAAAAGCTTCGCTGCCCGCGCTGTTCCAGGCCGCACTCGTTTGTCCACAGCGAGCACCAGCCAAAGGAGTGCGCCGGCAGCAGAAAGGAAGAAAAGAGGCCCTGCTGCCGGAACGAGTGCGGCCTGGACCAGCGCGGGAAGCGAAGCTTTTGTGGCTGGCCGCTCCCTCTGGACCGATAGCCTTGCTGCATATTGGACTCAAACGCGACGTTAGGCACCCGGCCGCGGCGGAGCAGGCTGCGTGACAGAGCTTCAGCGCTGAAAGCTGCGCGCAGCAGGTACTTGAGCACTCTCGGCCTGCTCAGCTCAGGGGCAGTTGGTGTAGTGGCATCACACCCGCTCAGCATGCGAGAGGGGCCAGGTTCATCCCCGGCCTGTCCATGCCCATGTGCGCCTGCGTCTGTCACAGTTTGCCTCTCCCTGGTCTTTCATCCCTTTGGGTTTGCTGTGCGTCTTGCCAAGACCGGCTGCGGCGCCGCGGCCGGGTGCCTAACGTCACTTTTGAATCCTATATAGAAAGTAGAAAGCTACGGTCCCCAGGGCGCAACCAGCAAGAACAGCTTCGCGTCCAGCGCGCTTGGAGGCCGCGCTCGCTTCAGCGAGCACGAACCAAAGGAGTGCGCCGGCAGCTCGCTCGCCACAGCGAGCCCAACCAAAGGAGTGCGTCTAAGATACATCAGTAATGTGTCCATGGACAGACAGCGGCCACAAAAGCTTCGCTTCCCGCGCTTTTCCAGGCCGCACGTTTGTCCACAGCGAGCACCAGCCAAAGGAGTGCGCCGGCAGCAGAAAGGAAGAAAAGAGGCCCTGCTGCCGGCGCACTCCTTTTGGTTGGTGCTCGCTGTGGACAAACGAGTGCGGCCTGGACCAGCGCGGGAAGCGAAGCTTTTGTGGCTGGCCGCTCCCTCTGCAAACACGACGTTAGGCAAGCTTCAGCGCTGAAAGCTGTGCGCAGCAGGTAGTTGAGCACTCTCGGCCTCAGCTCAGGGGCAGTTGGTGTAGTGGCATCACACCCGCTCAGCATGCGAGAGGGGCCGGGTTCAATCCCCGGCCTGTCCATGCCCATGTGCGCCTGCGTCTGTCACAGTTTGCCTCTCCCTGGTCTTTCATCCCTTTGGGTTTGCTGTGCGTCTTGCCAAGACCGGCTGCTGCGCCGCGGCCGGGTGCCGAACGTCACTTTTGAATCCTATATAGAAAGTAGAAAGCTATCGGTCCCCAGGGCGCGACCAGCAAGAACAGCTTCGCGTCCAGCGCGCTTGGAGGCCGCACTCGCTTCGCCGCAGCGAGCACGAACCAAAGGAGTGCGCCGGCAGCCTGCTCCGCCGCGGCCGGGTGCCTAACGTCGCGTTTGAGTCCAATATGCAGTAAGGCTATCGGTCCAGAGGGAGCGGCCAGCCACAAAAGCTTCGCTTCCCACGCTTTTCCAGGCCGCACTCGTTTGTCCACAGCGAGCACCAACCAAAGGAGCGCGCCGGCAGCAGAAAGGAAAAGGAAAGAAAAGAAACGAAGAAGAACAAGAAAAAAGGGAAAGAAAGAAGGCTGGTAAGGTACAGGGCTGAACGGGCGAGGGCGAAAGGGAAGGGAGAAGGCTGCCACAGTCACGCTCCAACGCTAAACGAACACTCCCCCAGCGCCTTCCCCTTGCAGGCAGGGGGGTCGGCGGATATCGAGATTTTCTTGCACAACATGTGTGTCTTGGGAAAGGACACATCTACCAAGTGGCATTTCATTTCAGGGAACACATGGCCATGTCGCGCTTTGTTGCCACGTCTGCTTGGGAATTGCCCAGGCCGTGTGCCGCGCACAGAAGGGCAACGCAGCGCAGATGCAGGCCTTGTGCAGAAAGAATCAACTGGGTTTTCCATGGTTTCGGGCGCACCTCAAGAAAGGGGGCTTGTATATTTTCTAATCTGCTTGCCATACAGTTGATTCTCCCACATACAGCAAGTTGGGAACCAGGAAACCCAATTCACCGCAAGTTCCGGGAGTGTTGGGGGTTGGATGCGGTTGTTTCGCTTGCAAAGGCCGGGATAGAGCCTGTCCTCGCAAGGCGGCTGGCGCTGTGCCGATTTTGCTGCAGGCGCTGGAGGAGCACCGGCGCCTTGGACTGGCAACGGGCGGGGCTCCGAACCGAGAAATCTCGCTGGTCGAAAGCATTTCTCATTTCCAGAGATGTTCTTGGACTTTCGGTGAACAACGCGCTTCGGACAGTGGAAGCTTGGACTGTGGCTGAGAAGATGTGTTTGACGCGTGGTTCGCTCAGGCGCGTGCGGCAAGTGCAGCGAGCAGCGCTGGACGCCCTGTCCTGCATGGCCAAGGTGGCAAGGTGCAACTCTTGCTGAGTGTTAGGCTGTCAGGTTGTGCATGAAAGTCGAACAAGGAACAAGGACCCTTGACCTCAATCATGAGAGCATTCTTTATGGCACCATCGTCCTTGTGCCCTGAGCCCAAATTTTGGCCAAAGAGCCGCTCGCAGGCAGCAGATCTTTGATCTGGGGGGCATCCCCAGTGTGCTGGCGGCCATGACAAAGTTCCGGCGCGACCCAGACGTCCAGGTGTCCGGTGCTTTGGTGCAGCTTGGCAAGAAGACCCCTTTGGCGTTCTTTTGGAGCGGTGGTGTGAGGGCTAGAGAACTGGGTGTCGATTCGCCATGTGCAGCTTTCATCCGGTCGAGCTTGAGCTGAGGCTGGGCGGTCTCTGCATGAACTCCGACAGTTGCCGGCACTCCGTGGTCAAGTACGGCGGAGTGAACGTGCCTTGGCTGCTGTGAGCGTCTGAACGATTTTGCGGGTCGCCTCTTCCTAGGTGTTGACCGCAGCACTGGATCGCCACGAGCAGCGGCCAGACGTGCTCATTGCAGTCGCTTGACCTGAAGTGTCTTGCATTTCACGGCGCAAGTCACGGTGCCAGATGTCAGGCTGCCGAAACCCTGGCGCTGTTGGCTTCTGGTCGGCACGCAGACATCCTGCAGCGCATGATGCCATCCCTGCGACTTTGCTGCAAGAAGTGCTTTGAGGCCTGCAAAATGCCCTCACAAACAGCGAGGGCAACATAAAGAGAGCGTTTTGGGGTACTGTAAGAAACAAGTTGCCCACCAGCTGAGAAGGTCGTCTCGTTTTGGTCGATTCATCTGGCAAGAGAGGAGATGCATTGCTCCAGGCCAATGGTGCAGGCCATGGTGATCAAGCACTCCGAGGCTGAAGGCAGCGAAGCTAAGGCGCCTCACCACAAATTATTGATCCACCATCTCAGTTTGCATGTCCCCACCTGGTTGTGGTGTTATGGTGTTGCACTTGCAGCACCTTCACCGCTGTTTGCTGTGGCGGCATGTTGCCGTCATGTTGCCAGGTGGTTCTGCGGTCCTTGCAGAAGCTGGAAGCTCAGCTCCTGGGCAGCACGAAGAAGGAGGACGACGAGTGGTCAGATGCAGGCCGCTGGTGATGAGGGATGTGGCCACGAATTTTGACTGTAGGAGCACCTCAAAAATAGTTGGTGGATACAGATCAAACGCACAGCCACCATGACGGCCAGGCACCCCTCGGCAGAACGCGCAGAAGGCGGTGGTGCGGAGCGCCCAAGACGAGGTGAAGCAGGTGGCAGAGCTGCACGACCGCTTCAAGCGCTGGAATGACCGGCGCAAGTAACAGGTGCGATTTCAATAGGGAGCCTCCTCAAAGGTGGTTGGTGGACATAAATCCCCACCAAAATGATGTCCACCAAAGGGTCCCGTTGAAATTCACGCCCATGTGAGCCACTGACATTGTTGCTAGTGCGCTCTTTTCTCAAGCGTTTTCAATCAATGTGTTTGTGGGCACCGGGCACAAGCCTCGCCAAAGCTCGGAATGTGCCTGTGCATTGCCACACCATTCGGGGGAGGCTAAGACCTCAACTCCTTGTAGACTAGGCCTAGAGGTGCAGTCAACAACAGTACAGCTGGCCAAAACAAAAAGTGCTACGCCGGGTGAATCACTCGTGCTGCCCTAACTCGTGCTTTTACCTTCACGGCCAGCAAGCCAGAAACATGACCAAAAAAGTGACAAACGGCACCAGTTTGAGTTGATTTTTCGTCACTTAGCCCATCCTGTGGAGCGTGGGAGTTAAGGTGGGAGCTGTATCGACTGTCAGCACGTAGACGTGTGTATGCGCGTTGTGCACACAGTAGATGATACATCTAACATTCTCTCTTGCGCAACCCATCTCAACGACTTGAATAGCTGCTGTTCGACGCCAAGCTGCAGGAGGAGTTTGAGAGGCTCTGACCGGACCACGATTTGAAGAAGAGCCGCTTGTAGATTGGATTCCATGTTGGATTGCGCGACACTGTGCCAAGGAGCCAGCAAGAGTGAGCTTGGCGACATGAAAGCTTGAATTGGCAAGTCAGCCAATAGACTCTGACTCATTGAATCTGAGTCATAGGCCATGTCACCCAGATGTAGAGGTGACAAGTTGTTCACAAGCTGAAGCAGATCTTGTTCTTCCATGTCAGACATTTGCGAGACATTTCGGGACACTCTCCGGTTCGAGACCAGCCATTGCAGGTAGACCATGTCTGTCGAATGCCTGGGACAAAGCAGCAAGAGGCTGGTATCAATGTCTTTGCCTCTCTTATGCCACGCACACGCCCAAAAGAGCCGGGACAGCGAACGCATTGGCTTTGGCTTCGTTGCACATGCTGAGACTGTGGGGCAACTAATAGGGGTTCTCTCGCATGGTTCCAGATACATTGATGGGGCACAGTATCTGCATACATACCCACATAGACCCAAAAATCCGAAAGTGGTGCGACAGCACAAATACAGAGGTGACGAACAGACCTTGCGGAAATGAAGCACCAAGAGCGAGCATCGAAACGACGCGCAGCGACGCATTGCAGCAAGCAGTTCTGTGAACGAAGAACTGCAAGGCACACCGGGTTACAGCTTCAGGAAACCTGAGCTGACTTCGGGATGTCATGCTGGCACCTATCCGTGGGCAACTGGCGGAGGAGAGGGCACCCCTTGCCCATCCAAGGAAACAGCCGGAAAAGCAAGTGTTAGAACGAGGGGCGGTTGAGAAGCATGTACTTGTGTGTGTGTGTGTAGTTGTGTTTTGTGTTTGTTTGTGCTTGAGTCAATTTGCCCGTGGTGGTTTTGCTCAGTGCAAAGGCTATCCCTTTGGGTTGAGGACAGCGGCTGCTTCCCCACACACCGCTGCAGCACTCCGCCGCTTGGCAGCATGCCGAGAAACGCTGCGCGGCATGCGCAGCAGGGCTTGAAATGCCTAGCCTCTTTAGGAATTGCTTACAAGGCGCCGAGCTGCGGACTTTGAACTCGCACGAAGCCAACCAGTTTTGAGCGGCTTTACAGTGTTGGCACCTTGCCACGTAACATCCAATTCTCGTCCACGCCTACAGAATCCGAGGACTGAGAGCAGGCGCACCCCAAGGCCAGGGTGTGGCTTCCGCTGACCTTTTCGACCGACATTGTTTTCAAGCATCTGGGAGACCAATTTGGGTGTATGTTTTGAGGGTACCCGATGTTTAATGGTTTTAAAGGGAAGCCAACAGGAAAGCCACCATTTGGATTTGGTTTTGATGGGACAAGTGGGTTTCCTTGCGGGCTCATGTCTTGTAAGCAAAAGACATTAAAGACATAATGCATCTTTTGGAGAGGGTGCCGCATTTGAGGTCACGCGGGCCTTGGGAAGATCTGGCACGAATCTCGGCGCCGAGGACCTCCAGGCCCGTCCACTTGGCCGCTCGGTCGCTTGGCCGCTTGGCCGCTCGGTCGCTTGGCCGTGTGCGCAAGAGCAGCTGGCAGGTGCCATCCAGGCTGCTTTAGTCCGGAGCTGCAGGACCTGAATCTGTTTTTGGGTACATTGGGGGGTGTCTTTTTGAGGGTACCCCTTATTTGTGGCTTTAAAGGTCAACCACAAGGAAGCTAAACTTCTCTTTGTTGGGCAAAAAAGACACACGCTGAGTTGCGACTTGGCATTGACTTGTGCTTCCTCGGGCGGTCCCGCTGGTTTGTACAGGCATTTTCCGTATGCCTCCCGCAGGACCAGCCTGATGTGAACTTTCACCGGCTGCCGGCAGCAGCACAGCAGGTTCGGACAGGGGCAGGGACCAGTCCCAGCAATGCGGCAAACTGGGCAATGGCTGCATCGGCATGTCATAGCCCCTTCCAGCCCCGCCTTGCAGGCTACCCTTTGTGGCCGGGTTAGGAAATGGAGCAATTCGCTTCAAACGGCAGTACTTGGTCACACCTGAGCACTGTTGCCGGGCCACTAGCATGGTCTTCCATGGGGTTTACCTCAAAGCTCCATGCTGCTTGGAGGCAAGGTAAATCAAGTGGAGCCGAACCAATGCAACGGGAAGAATTGAGATACGTAAAACTGCGGCGGTGGGCAGGCAATGGCCAGCCCCCGGGGTCATGCAGAGCGTGCCTGGGCCTTGCGTGCCTCGGCAAAGCAGGGAACTTTTGCCGAGTGTTTCACTCTTCTTCCCTTTGGCCATCGAAGCGGTCAATTCGATAGATTCCTCTTCAATTGAGACAGCCCTTGTTGATGGCTGTGCCTTCTGCTGCTGCTGCTGCTGCTGTTGCTGCATTTGCTCTAAACTTGCCTGAAACATGTCTAACTCGGCCTTTGACAACCTTTGTTTTTGCCTTACAGCGCTGTCCCACATGGCTGTCCGATTTCAGGATACCCACTTGGTAGACCATGCAACTGTGTATGTGTGACCTTTTCCATGGCCAACAGCTGCCTGCGCGTGCGGCCGAGGGGAGGACCTCGACCCGCTGGACCGTTCTGGGGCTGCCAGCGCACCGCCGATCCTGGCAGAGGTTGAGGCAAGCAGGGCGCTTGCCACGCGGAATGTCTGGAATCGGACCTCCGGGAAATTGGAAGCCCGTAGTGACTTTAGTGGGCATGTTTGCGCATTGTGGGGCCTGCGGGAGTCAACTTCTGACTTACAAAGCTTCTTGGACTTCCAATATTGAATAGCCTTTGCGAGCTGTGCCGTACAGACTCAAGTCTGGACGCCGTTGTTGTGATCCTTTTTGATGTTGATGGTTCAAGCTTGGGCATGGCGCGAGACGAGCTTTGGGCGGGCCAATCACTTTATCTCTGCAGGGCTAGTGGCAACACCTCGTGCAAAGCTGTGAAGTAATCCGAGTTTCTCAGAATATCACTTTCATCACAGTCGTTATATACATGCCATGTTGCAGAAATCCTCTTTTTCTAACAGCCCCGTTGATTCAGACAGTCGCGGTGTGTTGGAGGAAGGAGGCCGTTCTGGTCACTTCGCTCTTGGCCCTAAGATGATGCAAGCTCCAGCGTCAGGTGCCGCAAAGACCGGACACCCCTGCCTTCGTGCGGTTGCCGCCAGAGCTGAAAGAGGCATTGAAGGCAGGGTGCGTGTGCTGCGGCTGGGACCGGGCCGTGTGGCTTACATTCAATGGGGATGGAGCTGGGTTACTCTTGAGCTGAAGTGAAACGCTGCTCCGGTGAGGTGCTGGGCAGGCCGCATGCCCCCTGGCCGGCGGAGTTGTGCAGGGAGGTTCGGCGGAAAGCAGCTGAGCGGCCTGGTGCAGAGGCTGGATGGGAATGGCGGACAGCTGTACAGGTGGGGATGTTGCAGGCGTTAGCGTTGCGTTCCCATCAAGATCACAGGTCAAGCGCGCAAGTCTGGCAAATTTGGCAGAAAAAGCAAATCTGTGAAACTCGTGTTGGAGCTAAGAGGTTGTCAAATTGGATTGCCCAGGAGGCGTCCCTTCTTCAGAAGCTGCAACAGTGCCTATGCCTCAGATCCAAGACCGAGTCGAGTTGAACTGCAGCATCGTTGGAGATGTGTTAAAACTGGGAACCGCCCCTGGCTGGTGTTTGCAAAGCGCACCCCAAGACTTAAATGGTTGGAGAACGGAAGTTGTACACTCCCACATGAGGTTCAGGCAAAGGTTGGAGTGGTCTGTGGTCAGCTTGGGGACACGGGAGATACACCGGTTTCCCGCAAGAACTGGGGGGTCTCACCACCATACTTTGGCTGGTCCTCTCACAATGTCATGAGCCTTGAACAGGTGTTCTGCAGGCCACAGAGACGACCTTCAAGCGGGGGTGCTACCAGGCCGCTGAAGCCACAGCTTGAATCAAAGCGCTCTGGTCTGGCAGACTGGAGAATTCTTCAATCATTTAGCATTTCGATGTTGAGTTGCTTTGAAGTACTTGGGATGGGGTTCTGACTTACATGGGTGATCGACAGTGGACATGGCTCCGCTTGGCGCGACTTAGCGTGCGGAGAAGTGAACGACTGATTGCAGGTGGAAGATAGCGACAGGCCCGGCTACCGCACCGTCTCAATGAAAGATGTCCTTGCTCCGTCTACGCAGGCAGGGCCGAGCCATTGCGATGTTTGTCGTGCGCCCGCTTTCGATTCTGGTGGCTGGCCTGAAGCATTCCAGCACTCAATGATAAAAAGACGACTTTGCCTGAGGTGCACTGGAGCAAGACCAGGTGCCTGGAAGTTCGCGACGTGGGCAAGGCCGTGGTGCCGCCGCTGCTGATCGCCGACCTGTCGTGCCTGGACGTCGTGGCGCGCCTAAGGTCGTTGGGGGGCCCAGAACTGCCATGGGGGTTTGCCCAAGTTACTTAGGGTCTTCGATCCTGCCATGAAGGTCCCCTTTTGAGGTGGGGCCTTAGCCGCAAGATCGTGGTGGTGACGGAGCTTCTGGAGTTCGACCAGACAGGACGGGGCATCAAAGGGAGAGACAAGTTCATAACATTTCTTTTCATGTCCAGGCGCCAGATCAAAGCACTTGACGGTTTTCAGGCAAGAGTCAAGAGGTCCTCAAAGTAAAATGTGACCACGGAAGTAAGTCGCTCCATGGCAGGCTGCGCGCGTTTTGGTGTCGCCTCCCAGCGACCCCACTGCATGGCGCTGCGTAGCGACTTCCGACGCTTCCAGCGTCAGGCGGCCACTTGGCAGTTTTCTCGGGGGTCCAAATTGGGCTTGGAGCCAAGTAGGAATATGTGTAGCTTGATATCTGGACAAGGCAAAACGAGGTCCCAAACATTTGATTCCCCAAAAATAGGGGCCCTTTCCAAAAAGCTTTGTGTGCCGTCGAGTCCGCTTCTCTGGCCCCATGATGCCCCATGTGTTTTCGGGGCTTGGCTGGAAGGTCCGAGCGAAATAGGGGCCTCTCAGGGTTGCCCTCGCACGAGGAAGGAAAACAATCCAAGTAATCCTGACTAGCCAACCAGAGTACCATTGTCAAGGAGAATCCTCATGAATTTTGCAGCTTCTTTTTGCCCGGCCATCCGAAGACTTGTTTCGCTCACCCAAGCCATCGCACTTCTCGTGCAAGGGGGTCTAACAATGGTCACTTGAAGCCCAAAGGTAACTTTGCTGCTTGCCACAAAGATGTTCCGCCACAACCTGCTATTTTACTGAAGGCCATTGCACTGACAAATCGCCACTCAACGCATGATTCAACTTGTGTATTTTTCTACCACGACACCCAAAGGCTTTTTCCACTGCGCATATGACTTCCCCAGTCTTGAGTGACAAATGGATGTGTGTGCACTGGCTGATGGTCACTGTTTTTGACTGACTTGTACATGTACCATACGATTTTCACAAATTCAATTCATCGTTTCGAGTCATGAACACGCCGATGGAATCACTCAAAGCAAGTCACCGCAGCACTTTTCGCACCCTTGCCCTCGCATACCTTCTGATGTGGATCAACCACTTTCACTGGTTTTTGTGCAATTTTCCCAAAGCTTGTGGAACCCATGCAGCATTCCGCACCGAGGAGCTGCAGCAGAAACGGCAGAAGTCAACGATGCAAAGGCCGCCTGGATGCCGAATGTCGAGCTAGCGAATTCCGAACAGTTTTGACGATTTGTCCGTGTCTATTTATTATTGGTAAGAATTAATATCATGGCATGTTCTCGAATCCTGAATCTCAGGGACGGCTGTGATGGCCCGTAGCCAAGGACCCTGTGTGACTGGAAGATGCCCCAGGTCTTTGTAGCCAAGGACGTTACCTGCATCCGAGGGCCGCAAGGTGCATACATGGGAGTTGTTTTTTTCCAGTTGAGGCGCCGTGTTTGGCTTGTTTTCAATAGATCCCCTTGGGGATCATGGCGAGTTCTTCCGGGTTAGCTGAGTGTAACTTGAGCCTTCCACGTTTAAAAGCCACTGCTCAATGGGGATTCATCCTTCGCTCTGGAGGAACAGTAGCTTAAGCCAAACTTGATGTGCAAATACAGTGATCGCAGCTGTTTGCATTGGCAGCTGCGCAGATGCGATTCAGCCTTGCAGGTGATGGCTATCCATTTCTTCTGAGGCAGGGGTCGCATCGGTGAGATGCGCCTGATGCCGCTCATGTTGCAAGCGATGTGTGTGTGTGTGTGTAGAGACAGCGTGTACACAGTGGTGTTTCTTTGGGGTATCTTTCACGGAATGGGGTTTGACAGACTTGAAACTTACGTATTTGTTCTGTTCTGTGTGATGTATTCAGCGGATGCTTTTCGTCGAGTCTGAGTCTAAGTGGTTTCTGCGATCAAGCTCTTCCATGTTTCAAGAGAACCCATTGGGGTTGAAGAGCCAGAAAGTGGAACCCCTGCCAAGCTCGTAGCCGCTAACGGCCACGCCAGGCCATTCCAGTGCGATGTTCTGGGCATGGCGCTTTGGACAGATCGGCCTCGCCTTCGCAACGAGCGACGCCTGGTGTGCATGGGAAGATGGGACGCCTCAGCATGTCTGTTTTTTCGGAGCGGGAATTCCCTCTTTGGTGTTTCAAAGGAAACCCTGCATTTGTGAGGTTCCTTCATTCAGAGTCAAGCTTACTCTATTTATTTAGCTTGCGAGAAATGATTGACACACCACAGGTGCAAGCCAAAAAAAAATGCCTATTCACTTCATCTTGTGCTCCAGCTGGAAGTCAGCTCCACAGAGGAGATGAGAAGGGCGAGCTTATTACAGTGTACTCAGATGCGGATGATGCCAAGGCGCGCACTGTCAAGCTTCATCCACCAAGAAGCATTCTGTTTCACTTACTCGGCCAATCCGTGGCACAAATAAGTCTGGAGGCCTACGAGCTCCGGTTGGAGATGTGCGCCCTTGCCGCGCTGGAGGAAGGTCGGGGCACTACCCGCAAACGTTCAGAAGATAAATCAAGTTGCGTGGGGTCACGGGAGAAGTGGCGGCGCAGGCGTGCGAGGTAAAACTTATCACCGGACTTCGCTCAGGGACAGACGTAGATTCCAGCGAGCAGCCCGTGCTGGTGCTGCCGGTCATTGGCCTCGGCGGCAACTCCTTCCACCCTCAGGCCAGATACAAGGGTGAACTTTGTGTGAATCCGACATACTGTTCATCTCACGATCTTTTGCATTTGTGAATCTGCAACTTTCTTGAAGGGAAGGCACCTCACTGCTTTGGCCAGGACTCTGTGGTCTTGGCGCTGAAGTCCTTTCGGCGCCGCTTCACGCAGTACTTCCACTCCGTCTATGCGCCTTGGCAGAGACCATAAGACTCTTTTCAAGCGACCAGGTTGCGGATGGTTGCGGCATTGCATTGGGAACACCTCTTTGCGCTGTTCGAGGTGTGCTGCGGCGATCGCGGCCCCAACTATGCTCTCTCAGACTTCATTGAGTCTGCCGTCAACCGGAGTGACCCTCGTCCTGAGCCTGAGTTGCTGTGTCAAGCTTCACCTTTCTCCAAGCATGAGTCGTAGCCTACTTGTGGTGACTAGGTCAGCGGGTGGAAGACGTTTACTGTTGAGCCCAGTTGTTGGTCCCACCTCTGATAAGTAAGCGGCGTCATGACAGATAGCACATGCGAGGTGTACATGATGGCTCACAATGACACACTCGCCGCCAAAGCGCTGCCTTGGCACTGGGACCAGAGGCGGGACACGTTGGTTGGAGGCAACGTGAGAAGCTTGCCTTCTCAGCTGGAAGAAATATCGGTTGCTTTCGCGCACAGTCTTTGTCTGCGCTCTTTTGAGAAGCCTGAGAACGCTGACAGAGCACACAGCACGGGCAACTGTGGCGAGAAATGGGCGAAACAAAAGGCCAACCCCCCCCGCAAATAATTGTTCGCTAGGGCTCAAACAATATTTGTTAATAGTGGTAGGGCAATTAGGGGTCAACCATTTCCTCTTCGGTCCTCGAATGGGCTCCCCCTTTTCCGGACCCGGACATAAGAACAGTCAACGAAATCAAATGACAACTGTCAAAGTTCTTTCTTCGTTTTTGCGGTTCACAAACAAATGGCACAGTTTAAGTTGATAATTACAATTAAGGAAACGTCTAAATGTGTGTTCTGGTCGGAATTACAATCAACTAAATTCCTGTAAACTAGTAAAAGGCAAGGATAAAAAAGACTCTATGATAAGACTGGTGTCGGGATTGGCGTGAACACCGCAAGTTTAGTGTTGGTTTGGAATCGGCGCATTCTACAAGTAGTATTGGGGATCCGGGGGCCTGGGAAAAACGATATTTATCCATAGGGTCATTTACTAATAGGGAGAGGGGATTAGAAGTGACCGTCTTCGTGTTACCTGCGGTTGTCATGCTGCTGCAGGTGGACGATGCAAAATGCTTACCATGTTTTGCTGCGGAATGCATGGCCCAAATATCAGGACATGCATGGCGTGTTCTGCAAATCAGTCAATATAAACATGGGCCTCGTTTGTCGCTGTCAACAATTCCCTGCCCGCACCACACAGCCCCTCCTGGTCGTAGGTTCGATTTTTCCTGGACCCTCCCCCCGGCCCAACATGGGTCTTGACAGTTCCACTGTTGCCAAAACGGCCTCGGCAAGAGCGGATAAATTAGCACCCGTCTTTTGGATCATGCATAAGCAAGTGCATGGGGTGAGAGATTTGACTGCCTCACCCTTGCTTCTGCTGTTTGCTAGCTGTTTTTCACCACCTGCTCAAGCGAATCTGCGTTGAGGGAACTGTTCCCGATGACTCCACTGACGTACTGGGGGCTGGTGTGCCTTGCGGTTGATTTGCATGTTTGTTTGTAGCTCTTTGAGTGGCGGCCTGGGACTCGCCACCCATTCGGGTCTTTTCGCCTCACGCCCGTTCCGGGTCAGTTTTGACCTCAGGGAGATCCAGCTGAGCATCGCGGCGGCACGGCTTGAGAAGATCGGACACCACATGAGGCTGGGGGCGACCGGGCTGTGGATGGTAAGGGAATATGGAGGAGCAGGGTTTGGAGGGTATGGGGTTTCAAAGGGAGACCCCAAAGAACCATGTTTGTCGGGTGGCCCAGGCCAACCAAAAATTCCCTGCAGGGGCTCACATAATGTTCCCCTGTTCTGTTACAAAGCGAGTTTCTGCCTGAGCAGCTTCAACTCCATACACTGAGCTGCCTTGCAGCAAAACTATTCGGTGGCTTGAGAGCTGCCAGACCCTTTGCTAATGATAGTGCTGGTTTCACCTTGTGACTTCAGATAGGTGTGGTTTCAGGATTGAGGATGGATTGAGAACGCCAGATGCAGGTTTCAGCGCAATCCGCCGCAGGCAAGGGCCCACATATGTGGTCAGCATTGAGGAAGATCGGCGCACATCTGAAAGGAAGCAGCTCGTGGAGAAGCACCACTCAGGCGCTCAAAGCGTTGCCAAGTGACTCAGTGGGCCAAGCAAAGAGGTCAATGAGCGTCACGAAGTGTTTTTTTGTTGTGTGCGTGCTTGTAACGGAGCATGGTGAGTCGTCGGGAAAAAGTGTCCTGCCATCGCGCCAGCGAACTTCGGCTCCCTGCGTGCCTACTACCAGCGGAAGCAGATTGAAGCGGCACAAGAGATTATCAAGGCAGCGGCAGCTCAAACCTTGGAGCTCTGAGACGTTGTGTGGATGTATGATGTATGTATCCAGGTACGGGCGTCCCAAAGGCAATACACCAAGATAGGTATTTACCACTTACCACATTATCACACTTACTAATATTCCCACAGTTACCATAACCCCCCAGTTACTATTTGCCACGTTACCCACTTGCCATGACACCCACAAGATGGATGCACTGATCACCAGCTGCGATTTGGGAGGCACAGCGCCGGCAGGGCGACTGGCCAGCGGCCGAAGCCCCGAGTGGATCCATCAACAGCCATCCTCGATGATTGTTTTTGGAGTTGGTACCCTTTCCAGCTTGGTTGACAAGTTGAAAGGGAAACCCAAAGGCAAGCCAGAAAAAATACCCTCCCGTTTCAACACACCCATTTGGGGGTGTTTTTGTTTGATGGTACTCCTTTCGGGGTTAGTTTCCAACGAAAGGGCTTGCTGCAAAGGAAGTCTGGGTACCCTCAAGTGTGCGCATCAGTCCATTTTGTGCCAGGGATGGTCATCACTTTCCAAAGGGGTCTAGACCAATGTAACCCCCCCCCCCCAAGCCGCCCATTTGACGAAAAACAATCCATGCCCCTGGGAATCGAAACAAGATGCTCTAAATCTCAGTGACGCCAAAGACCGGGGCTCATGAGACACTTGACTAGTTTGTTCCTCAGGATGCTCGCACCCGTGATTCCTCAGCTGTTGCACTTTCCTGGGTGTCCTTAGGATCTTACCCACGTGAAGCTTGGAGGCTGGCTGCTTGTCGAAAGACTTGGGAGAAACCACTGCCACTGTGAAAGCCTGGATAGATGAAGGCTCACGCGGGACAGTCTGACACTCCCAACCAGACATAGGTGCGGCCGCGCTGGTATTCTTTAAATGGTTTTAGATCGTCTCCTTCCCATGTTCGCTCATGGCTTAGGGAAGCTTCCAGTTGAGAAGTCCGGTCATATGGCCCCTGGCATGGGTTTCGCATGTTTCTGTCGCAGGCCTTCGGGACAACTTGGAGCTCTCCCCGGAGTTCGCGAACATGGACCTGCGGAAGCGCAGAGCTTCAGAGGCGAGACATGCTGGATATTGGATCAGATAGTTGGCCAACTTGCATCTTGAGCTGGAGCTTTCAACAGAATTTCCATCCCCCGTTTGTGAGCCTCGTGCGTCAGAGTCCGGACTGCGCCAGTTGCTGAACAAGTCCCTCAGCAAGGTTCAGGATGAGTTGGATGATCCCAGGCCAGTGCCGTTGCCCCACAGTTGGATTTGGAGGAAGGCTGCACGACGTGAAGCAGCTCAAGAGTTCTGGTTTTCAGCTGTCAGGCCCCCTCGGAGTGACTTGAGCACATTGCAGGAGCACGTCGCAACGTTGGCTGCCTGCTAAACGCATACTTCATGACCGCTGGACATATAAATTTCGTATGCAGATGCAAGTTACATTGGACTTGACATTGGGGTTGAATCGGTTGGCGTTGCAGGACATGATGGTGAGCGTGAGGACGTCTGCGAAGACTCGCGGCTTTTGCGACGCTCGATTGCACTCTGCAAACAAGAAGGGAGTTTGCTGATGAAAATGCTGTCAAGGGCTGGCGCCGACTGGGAACAGTATCTCAAAGGACCCCACGTGCACATTCACCATGAAGTTGTTGCCCTTTGCCTATGATGTCCCAGGGCTGGCTATCGAAGGCCGACAAGCCCGGGCGCCCAGCTTGCGTGCGTGCCAGAGTCCGGCGGGTCAATGGAATTGAAGACGAGCATTCTAGTTAGAGGAAAGCCGGGAGGACCTCCCAACACTTTCCCGTTTCTCACAATGCCGATAGGACCACAACAACGAACCATCACAAGCTCCGGAGGGAAAGCTCAACTCAACCTTGAACTAAGGCCGCTTGTTGAGGAAGGCATTGGCTTTCCTTTTAGACTGCATCGATTGAATCTGAAGCAATTCTATTGAATCTTCCGTTGTTCATGCCTGTGAAGGGCCATTCGATTGAATGTTCCACCCCCCTTCAGCTGAGCGATGGGTCACGCGCGAGAGAGAGAGAGAGAGACTCCGCTAGTGTGGCGCGGCACATGGGCTGTGGTCAGTTGCTCCTGGAGGCCAAGAGGCGCGATTGCCACAGTTTGCTGACAGCTTTGATTCGGCCTTGTACAAATTATTGCCTCTGCTTGTCCTGCTTGGTGAATTGGCGACCGCCCAGCACTTCAGAAAGCAAAACAAGATCGCCAGATAGAGAGACGGTGAGGCTCCCATAGGCTTGTGGCAGTGCCGGAGGGTGCCTGCAGGAGAAGCAGACAGACTTCCCTCAGCCTGGAGGACGATGACTGGACTGCATCTTCTGGAAATGTTCCATCGGATGTCTTCCCTCGTGCAAATCAGTGCGCAAGTGTTGTTCAGTTGTTCCTTTTGAGAGCCAGTAGGGAGAACCAGTTTGCTTTGAAGACACTTCATTTTGTTTTGCTGGTGTGGATCAGGCGGTTGTCGCCAGCAATGACGTGTTCATGGCCGACTGATGCCAAGGGTGCTTGGAAATTCTAGTATGCGTCGGGTTTTCTCTTCTCTCTATTTGATTAGCTCAGTGGAATGTACTATTTGAATCGTGCCTGGGTGGCATTGACGATGCTGTTAGACCATACATTTGATCCAGGGTCAAACCCGACACAGCATCAACTTTCGTGGTCAGAGCCTAGAAGGGCGATTTTCGTGGGACCATAGCAAGACCTTCCAAGAAGGTCCTTTCGCATGAAAACTTAGGCTCGTCAAAATGACCTGCGGTCGACATGTTTCATGAAGAAACTTAGATATAAAACTGAATTGTAGATACCAGTGGAGCCGGCGAAGCCGGTGGAAGTGTCCATGGGAATAACCAATAAATAGTCGTTGCTGTGAGTTGCGCATGTTGAAGCTGCCTATGACGGCAAGCCGCGGCTGCAAGCGCTCGCAGGGACTAAAAAAAAACAAAACAACCTCGAACCACAAATCCAACGACTTCCCGAACAGGAACCCTAATACAAATATTCGTATAAATATTTATCTGTCAAACTAGCTATTTGTAGTCTTTTCTATATATTAAATTGATCTCTATATTTGTTTAATATATCTAAATTTGATTTAATTTGATTATTAATTGAAATTATAATATATTTGATTCGATTCACCTAAAATATATAGAGGATTCATTTTAAATTTTAAAAATGTAGTTTCTTATATAAATCGGTGTGGCCTCGAGGTCGTATTTCTCGTGCACCGGTAAGCCATTGTAGCGGTACTCCGGTCGAATCGTAGTGTTTGCGGCGAGCGCCCGGTCTTTTCTCCGCGGCATAGGTTCCCGCCTCTTCGTGCGGCCCGGAAGCCCCCGAATTTTTGCCGAAATTTTGGGGGGTTCTTAACAACTTTGCTTAGAGTTTTCGCGGTATAACCCGGCCAAATTTTCCCGAATTTTGGGTCGTTTCCGGCGACGCGGCTCCCAGGTTTCCGGACGTTATGCCCACAAACTTCTTTAGAATTTGCCGGCTTTCCGAAAAAAAATACCGGGCCAAATCTCGGGGAAATTTGGGGACTTGTCCGAATAGAAATTTCTCGAATATTTCGTGCCGGGTATTTCCGTATCTTTGCCTTTCTCTGTGACTCCAAGTCTGTTTCCGTGCGCGTCCATATTTATCTATTTCGTAATCTCTGTTGTCTTGGTTTGTCTCTGTTTGTCTCGATGTGTCCGTGTTTGTTGTTCGTCTCTATTTCTTTGCGTCTTTTTGTGTCTCTCTGTCTATTTTCGTATGTCCGCGTCTGTCTATTTGGTAATGTTTGTTTAGCTTTGTTTTTGTCTGATTCTTTCTGTTTGTTTGCGCTTGTTTCTGCGGGTCGGTTCACAAAGATGACACACTTCCGCGTTGTCGCGTGTCGTATCTCCCCCTCTTAAGTTCCGGTTTTTTTCCTTCCTTTTTAATTATGATTATTGTTACCATTGTTCTTGCTTGTTTGCTTCTTTCTTTCTTTCTCTCTCTCTTTTTCCTTTTTTCTTTTTCTTTTTTTCTCTCTTTCTCTTTTTCTTTCTCTCTCTTTCTCTCTCTCTTTTTCTCTCTCTATCTCTTTCTCTCTCTTTGTTTCTCTCTTTTTTTCTCTCTTTCTTTTTCTTTTCTTTTTTTTTTTTCTTTTTGTTTCTCTTTCGTTTTCTCTCTCTTTCTCTCTTTCTTTCTTTCCTTCTTTCTTGCTTTCTTTCTTTCTTTTTTTCTTTCTTTTTTTCTTTCTTTTTTTGTTCCTTTCCTTCTTTCTTTTTTTTTTTTTTTCTTTTTCTTTTTCTGTCTTTCTCTTTTTTTTTCTCTCTTTCTCTCTCTCTTTTTTTTCTTTCTCTTTCTCTTTTTCTCTCTCTCCTTTTCTTTTTGAGAGAGGGAGAGAAAATAAAAAGGCTTCTTCTTCTCTTTCTCTTTGTTTTTCTTTTTCTTTTTCTTGCTTTGCTTGGTGCCGTTTTATCGCCCACAGGATGAGGAATAGCTTGTGTAGGTGTTGTTGGGGCATCGGCTGATTTTTCCCGGGATCGGAGGCACCTTTGGGGAGTTATTGCTTTCACCCCGGGCATCTCCGTTAGTAATAACTCCTCTTATTATGGGTCTCTTTCTCCCTTTTTTGGATTTCTCTTTTTTTTGCTCTATTTTTCTCTCTTTCTTTCTCTTTTTTTTGTTTCTTTTTCTCTCTCTTTCTCTTTCTTTTGGTTAAGCTCTTGGATAGAGACGTCTTTTTAACGTATTAATGATAAAAATCGCTTATGAGTGTGGTGTTGAAAAAAAAAAGGTGGTGGTTAAACGATTGGTTAGAAACTTAAAACGTCGTTGAAAACATATTTTTAACATATATTTTTAAGGTTAAATATATTCGAATACTTTATTTAATTTATATATTTATATTAATATATATTTAAATTATTATATTTTATATTTTTTTTATTTTTATATATTTAATTAGATATTTTATTTAATAAAATAAATATATGAATATTATATAATATAAATAATGTTTTATTAATTGCTAAATACATTATTTTAGGATTGATTATGTATTGTTATTATAAATTATTTTTGTTAAATATATTTTATTTATTAAAATTAATTATTATCTATTGTTATTATATATTTGTAATTATTTCTGTAATTGAAAAAATGTTAACATTTGTAATTAGATAGGAATATTCAATTATTAATATTTATTAATTTAGAATATTTTCGGTTTTAATATTTAATATTCCTTAAAATATAATTTTTAAATTTTAAATTTCATATGAAATTCTTAAAATTTGTAATTTAAAATTCTAAATCGAACAATTATATTATATGTATTAATTCTTGAATTTGAAATGAACATTTAGATAAAGATATTTGCATCCAGGCAGCTTTTAGACTCAAAATTCAAGAATAAAAATCTTAGAATAAAATCCACCCTATAAATCTAATTAAAATTAGAATTAGATTTAAAGGGTTAAAACAAAATAAAATTCTAAAAAATATCATTATTTTCTAGATATTGATTTAGAAAGGGAATACCATAAATTGTATATATATATATATTAAGAATTATTTATTCTTTATTAAAATCAATATTTATTTTTCGAATATAATATTTGTATTTATAATTATTTAATTAATTTGGATATATAATTCGGCGAAGAGTTACGAAAAAATCGATTTCTCCAAAAAATGGATATTTTCATATTTATTATCCCGGATTTTTGTGGAAATTCGGCAAGAATTATGAATATAGTAATCCCTCCCGTCCGAAAAATATATAAATCCAAATAGATTAATATATAAATTATTTTCATTTTAAATATTCCAACCATTTAGAAAACATTGCCATTCCCATATTTTAGAAATAAATTCGGGGAAAACAAAATCAATATACAGAATATATTTAAATTGATTTTTATAATTGAATTAGAATTACTTGAGGAGCGAGTGAACGAAAGCTCGTAGTTGTTGCATGAGATGGGTCGGTAACAGAGTGGATTCATGGGTAGCTTGTGTACAACGAGAGGCCCGGCAAGATTCGTAGGATGCGATACGCAAATGCACATGGTGGCGTGGCAAACCTTGAAAAATGAAAACAACGAGAGGCGTCAGAAGCTGTTTTAAAGCACTTCTGGGTTCTGCATGCTGCGTGTGCAAAGATTCTTGCGAGGTGGTTTACTGAGAAGATTGAGAATGAACAAGCTGAATCATGTAAAAATTCGTAGAACCAAGTCCAAAACGGGCAAACCGAGACTACTGCACACTGAGCCACTGCCCGGGGGGGGGATGGACCAGGGAGGAATCGAGCCTGAGACCGGGGGGGGGGGGGGGGGAGGGGGGGGTCTAAATAATTGATGGTTTTTAATCTTTTCGATTCAAATAATTGAAAAAAAAATAATATCAATCTTTCGGCATTTGAGCTTACCTTGCTCACGCAAGGAGAAACTTCAGCTAGCTAAAGCTAGCTTTCGTGATAAAGCCAAACGAATATGTACGGCCGACTCGGATCTTTCTTTCGTAAACACCCGAGAATATCAGAATGATAATATAAGGATTATTCGCGAGAATATATATTGTTCGAGATAATTATTGAAAATCCGAAAATAAATTTATTAAATCTATTTTCTTTTTAGATTACTTTTATTATTATTTCTTATTTTTGTTTTTTTCCGAATTTAACAATTATGAAAAATGGATAAAAAATGTTTTCGCATTTGGCTGATATTTTCCGGCTTTGAGAAAAATACAAGAATAATTTAAACTCGAGAAAATTATTATAAATATTCCGTAAAATTAGGAAGATTCGGAAATATGAAGGTTTAATGACCTATTATCTATATCCTATTTAATTCTATGAATTTACCTTAAATTTATATATTTATTTGTTTATATATTTTTCGTTTTTCTTTATATTATTTCTTTAGTTGTTCTTTTGTTTTTTTTCTTAATTCCTTTCCTTTTTGTTTCTATATATTTGGTTCTTTATCGATTTATATCTTTGTGTTGTATATTTTGTCTTAAAAATTAATTCGTTAGAATTAAGAATTATTATTTGTCTGTATTTTATTGGGTAATAAACAAAAATGTGTTTTAGAAAAAACACGGATATTTTAATGTATTATGCAAATATATTTCTTTCTTATCCATAAATATTTATTCATTAATATTAAATATATTAAAATGATTTTCATTAACTCGAATTTATTCTAAACCATTTGAATTACAAATTTTCGGTTCTTAGCACGGTTATATAAGAATAGCCTTTATTATTTAGCTTTCACTTGCGAAATAATATCTTATAACAAATATAGCTTTTCTTTATGTTCCTTTTATTTTTTTTTTATATCTCTTTATACCTTTCTATACCTTCATTAATCTCTTTATTTCTATCATTGTATATTTTATTTTTTTTTAATGGTTTTATTAAATTGTTTATAATTATTATATATTTAAATATTTTCAATTATTTTTAAAAATAAATTATATAAATATAAATTATTTATATATTTAATTTAATATTAGAAAGAATCCGTTAATTCCATCAATGGCAATACTAACAAAGAATCAAAGAAAAAAGAAAAAGAGAAATAAAGAAAGAGAGAGAGAAAAAAAGAGAAAAAAAATTAATAAAAACAAGACAAATAAAAAAGAAAAACAACTAGGGCAAAAAAATGGTAAAGAGAAAAACACGAAAACCAAAATAGAGAAAAAAAGAGAAAAAGAAAAAGAAAGAAAGAGAAAAAGAGAGGGAAGAAGAGAAAAAGAGAGGGAGGAAAAAAAAGGAGAAAAGAAAGAGAAAGAAAGAGAAAGAGAGAGAGAGAAAAAGAGAGAGAGAAAGAGAGTAAGACCCATGGCAAAAAGAGTTGTTGCTAGCAAAAATACCCGAGGTGGAGGCAATTCTTCTAGCCCCGAGAGAAATTAGCCGATGCCCCAATAGGACCTAAGCAAGCTATTCCTCATCTTGGGCGATAAAGCGACACCAGGGAATAAGAGAAAAGGAAAGAAAGAAAAAGAGAAAGTAAGAAATTGAAAGAGAAAAAGAGAGAAAAAACAAGAGAGAGAGAAAAAGAGAGAAAAAGAGCAAGAAAAAGAGCAAGAAAAAGAGAGAGAGAAAAAGAAAGAGAAAGAAAAAAGAAACAGGCAAACGAGTAAAATCAATAATAAAAACAAACAAAAATGAAAAGAAAGACAGAATGAAAAGAAACAAACGGAACTTAAAAGGGAGGAGATGCGGTACGCGACAACGCGGCAGCATGCCATCTTTATGAACCGACCCGCAGAAACACGTGCAGACAGACAATAACATAAAGACAGAGATAAATATAGACAGATATTCCCCAAATAGATATCTCTGCGTGTCTCTGTGTGTCTGCGCGTATGTCTGCACGTATGTCTGCGCGTGTGTATGTGCGTGTTTGCCTGTATGCGTATTTCTGTGTGTGTCTTTGTGTGTGTCTCTGTGTGTCTCTGTGTGTCTTTGTGTGGCTTTATCTCTGTGTGTTTCTGTCTCTGTCCCTATACCTCTCCTGTGCGTCTGCGCTTGTTTGTGAATCTGCCAATCTGTGTATGTCCTTGTATGTGTGTGGGTTTGCTTGCTTGCGCGCCTGCATGCATGCTTGCGTATGTGTACGTTTGTGCTTGCTTGCGTGTTGGTGCGCTGGTATGCTGGCGCGCTTGTTGGCGTGCGTGCGCGCGCGTACACGCGCGTGTTGGATTCTCTATTTGTGGATGGGGAGACGTGTATGGTGTGTAAGTGTGAATGCACGAAAGTGCAAGGTATGCGGCGCACGTCCCGCGGCTCCGTCGTTGCGTGGTTGTGTATGCAATATGTAGACATGGATACGCAGAAATAAATAGAAAGATACAAAAAACAGAAAGAAATAGAGACGAACGACCGACATAGATATATAGAGACAAACAAAAATAACCGGAGAGACAGACAGACACAAACAAACAAATAAAAATAGAGAAGTACAAACACCAAAACGAAACAAATTAGACAGAGATATCTAGTACGCAATTTTCGAGAGATTTCGATTAAGACAAATCCCCAAATCTCCCCGAAATTTAGCCCGATATTTTTTTCCACAAACCATCAAATTCTAAAAAACATAAAAAAATATAAATTTATACACCAACAAGCCGTTATAGTGAATCGCAATGTTTACGGCGAACGATTATATGTGTTTCGGATTTTTCTTCTTTTCTCCATAATAAAAATTCCCGCCTTTTCGTCCCGAAAATTTGCCGAAATTTCAGAGAATTTTATTTTTTTTATCTAGAGTTCCCGCGGCATAACCTAGCTAGAGTTTCCTAAATTTTGAATTATTTCCAATAATATAATTCTTAGATTTCTAACATTATCCTTTTTACATAATATATATTTCAATAAAATTCAAAATACAAATATATATTATTTTAAATCAATTCTTCCCAATCAATAAACCCAAAAATAAGTAAAATTATTATATTAAATATTATTATTTTATAAAATTTATTAATATTTTTTAAGATCTATAATTAACATACATCTAATAATTAGACAATCTTAAATTTAATCTTTTCCTACCATATAACAAATTATTATTTCAATTATTCATATAATTATTATTATATTAAACACACAATATATCTTAAATTCAATTTAAAATATATAAATAATAATTATAATAATAACATAATATTAGATCATTTTTACCATATATTATTATTTATATATTTCAATATATATATATATTATATTTTAAAATATATTTTAAATTTATCATCAATTCCATTTTAACTATATTCTTTTTTTCTCCTAAATTAATAATTTTATTTATCAATATTATCATCTTTCTTTTAAATAAACTTAAAATGCAACCATGAAAGCATCAAGAAATCCAATCAAATATGAAACACACCTTTATATATTTCACAATCGTGACACTTCACATCAAACACACCAATCTTCATGTTCAATTTGATTTTGATCGAGATCCAAGATGCATTTACCGGTAGACGGCCCTCCCTCCAAGAGCACTTTGCTCAGATCAAGCATGCTCTGAACCAGGCGCTTCGAAACAACTGGCCACTGTCTCAATGCTCAAAGGGCTGGGCGATTGGCTCGCCAGACCTCGGCAGGCTGGATGCTCTAAAAAAAGCCGAAAAAAGAGGAAAGTGCTGCTATGTTCCAAACTGACAGGCAGCCGGATGTGCAAAGAACAGTATTTCCATGGTTCCCCCAGCCACTAGGGCCAAACACCTCCAATTCGATACCTTCCCTGACAATTCCATGAAGCATGTGTGACCGATCTTTTTACACACTCGCAATTGTGCGTTTTCGTGTCGAGCCTGCAGTGTGTTCAACACACGGAGGCCGGCTTGGCCGGCCTTTGGCAGCTCCAACGTTCTTCTATGTTGGGGGGCTTCTTTGAACAGTGCGTTGCCCGAGCAGGCCATCTTCATTGGCCTGGCCAGAGCCCCCGGCAACCAATGCTGAAGGCTGCGTTTTGCGAGTTCGCAAGCCGCAAACAAAGGACGACCCAGCCAAATCCTTGAACAATGCCAGGATGTGTGGATGTGTGTTGCTTGGATTTGGGAAAGAGCCAAGCCCCGCTGCATGTCAAGGCTGCCATGAACGATGAAGAATATTTTGGGTCCCATGCAAAAAGGCCAGCTTGCAAAAATAAACAAATAGTTTTGTTCAGGGTCAGTGGAAAATCAGCACCCACATCAGCCACAACATTCTTTGCCAAGGGTAGTCCTCTGTGCAGACCACATCCGACTTTGTCAGCGGCACTCCCCTTGCCTTCAGCTCCAGCCGCAGCGGAAACTCAAGCCTGGCAATTGGCAATGATGCATTTTATTGAGGGCCCACGCCCAAACTCCATCTGGTTCACAAGAGTTCAACTGAAATCTTGACCCGGGTTTCACAAACTTGAAAACGGGATGTTGCCTCACTGTACTCAAAGTGCTGGCGCGGACACACACACACACACACACACACACACACACACACACACACACACACACACACACACACACACACACACACCCACACACACACACACACACACACACACACACACACACACACACACACACACACACACACACACACACACACACACACACACACACACCACACAACACACAACACACAACACACAACACACAACGCACGCCACACAACGCACGCACGCACGCACGCACGCACGCACGCACGCACGCACGCACGCACGCACGCACGCACGCACGCACGCACGCACGCACGCACGCACGCTAGCACGCACGCACGCACGCACGCACGCACGC